CACGGAGAATGTTGTAGAGATGTTTGTGTCTGTGTTATGCCTGTGGGTCCTGTCACAACTATCAAGAAAGCATTTTTAGGTCAAGGTTAATATTGGAATTTTAAGGTCCTGTATATGTAGATTGCACAGTAGTAAGTGTGGATGTTCTGAACTGGGAGTAAGTTTAGATCTATGAAGAGTGAGGGAGTGTGTTGCCAGGGATGGGATTTAGTGATTATTCTTACTGTGGCTTTTTGTTGAGTTATTATTGGCTTTAGGTGTGTTGCTGCAGTTGATCCCCAAGCACAAATAGCATAGGTGAGGTATGGATAAATGAGTGAATGGTATAGTGTGAGTAGGGCATTTTGCGGCACATAGTATCGTATCTTGGAGAGGATCCCAACTGTTTTGGATACTTTTTTTGTTATGTGTTGGATATGGGTGCTGAAATTCAGGTTGTTGTCGAGGTATAGGCCTAGGAATTTGCGCTCATTATGTCTGGCAATTAGAGATTGGCATCAGAACAGGAAAGCTCTTCAGTTAACAGAAGAAAGGTAATCACAATAGCACTAATCAGGAGATTGTGAAAGTAAGTGATGCTTCTGGCTCTCAGGATATGTGACCTAAGGAGCAAGCAGTACATGGTCTATCTAAATCTCGATTCTCTGTGGTGGGTTAGGACTTTTAGCCTGCTCTTCTATACATCTCAAGAGGGAAAATTATAATTCTGTAAAGAATAGAGAGTATTTAATGCAATGGGTACATGTCCCAAAGTAACCTGAAACAATCCTACTACATGACTTAATATCTTAAGAAACTTGAGAGACTTTCATAAATTACACACAAATGGTAATCCAGTTTCAATTTTGTAGAGTTTATAGGATATTTAACTGACAAGGCATTTCCTTAGTGTTTGTACTGCTGATTTTGCAACTAGCAGGCTGGACCATAACAGAAGTAAACACTATGTTGTGCATAGATCTGTGGTCATCATGAAGTCACTAGTGTGTTAGGTCGACCTCTTGTCATCACCCTGGTCTTCACCTGCCATCCCAAAAAATAATGGCAGCATGGAAAATAGGAATGTTAACCCTTCGAGGGTTTTGGCCATACCAGTACGGCTTACGACCCAGGGTTTTTGACGTACAAGTACGCCTAAATTCTAGCGCCCTCAAATCTAGTGGGAGAAAGCTGGTAGGGCTACATATGAAAGAATGGGTCTATGTGGCCAGTGTGAATGGTATAAAAAAAATCCTGCAGCACACTGCATAATGAGAAAAAAAAAACTGACCGTTCTTTTTTTAATAAAACAGCGACTTTGCACTGTATTTTCGTATGGTATTTATTGTTGTATTCTAGTTTTCTTGGTCTCATTTTATAGAATGAAAGACATATTACAGAAATTGAGATGATTTTGACTGCTTTTACAATGAAAAGTACCTTGAAATTGAGCTCAAAGTAGCAGAAATGTTCGATTTTTACCAAAGTTCAAAAGTAAACAAATCATGCCAAGCGTCCAATACACGTCAACTGGTGGGTCTAATATTCTTTTGCAAGTGCGCCAATATTATTTATACCATTTTTTACACTAATACAGTAGTCTGCATAACAGTAAATCTTCTATTTTTTGTGAGAATAAAAATTCAAAGTGGAAAGCAAAAGAATGTAAGAGGGGCGTGGGGACGTGACTAATGAGCAGAGGAAATGTCATTTTAGTGCCAGGAATGTCTTTCTTGTTTATTCTGGACCCTATTCGGAAATTGGCATCTTTTGAAATTTGTGTGAAATTGGCAAAATTGCTAAATTCTGACCACTGTACTGGATAGTTGAAATTGGTAAATGGGTGGTTTCTTGCACTCATTCGATAGAAAAAATTGAGTTCTAGCGAAATATTCATGTTTTTTGTCAACTGGTACAGTGGAATTGGCCAAAAATGGGGCTCAAAGTGGGCAAAATTGCCGATGCGTAAATATTGCCAAGACCGCTAACTTCGAGAGAGCATAATTCTGTAGGTTTTCCATCAAATTTCATACTTTTGGTGTCATTATGATAGGAAAAGATTCTCTATCTTTTCATAAAATTTTTTTTTTTTTTTTTTAAATTTGGCCGACCCTGAGAACGAGTCTCGGAGAGGGCCTGTCGACCCTCAAAGGGTTAAGAGATCCATTGAGTGTGTGTTATTCTCTCTAGTGTATGACAAAAAAAAAAATGCCATTTTTTAAAGGGGTTGACTGGTAAGCCAGTGGAAGGCCTTGGTCAGATGACCAAAAGCTCCAGTGGCGGGTCATCATATGGCTAAGACCTCCTTCAGGAAACAGTTGTCCTATTTCCGGATAAATCTTAACCTAACCTAACCTGTGGCTACTTGCACTGAACCCAAACACAAGCAAGGATAGGTCAGATGACCCGAGTAGGAAGTGACTTGTAGTTCCTGATGTCACTCACCATAACTACCTGCTCCATGTCTTAATGGTTTGGCATACATTGTATAAATGTATACAAAATAGTCACACCCTGTTTTACGTCATTTTGGCTTACGTCAAATTTGCCTTTACGCCACTTTCCTAGGGTAAGTTTCAGTTTAGCAAGTGTCATTGTGCCTGACATCACTCAGCAATGTCACCTACGTCATAATTTTTTTTAATTGTGTTCATTATTCTTAAAAAAAAAATGTCTAAAATGTGCTTTTCGTGTTTAAGGTTATTTACACTAGTTTTATTTTTGCTAGTTTTACGGTGTTTGTCATCATCTTAAGGCATTATGTCCAGTTTACATCAGAAACCAGGTTATGTCACAGTTCTTGGAATCAATTAATGATGTAGAGTGGGGTATGACTCTGCATACATGTATATAATTTTAAGAATTAAAAAAAAAAGTATAAACATTTTTTCTGTACACATTAATATGACCCAATACAATATTAATTAATTTATATAATTACCCAGACTTGAATCCTGGAAATGGGAAGTACAATGCCTGCACTCTAAAGGAGGGGTTTGGGATATTAGCAGTTTGGAGGGATATGTTATGTACAGTATCTTTATAGGTATATGCTTCTAAACTGTTGTGTTCTGAGCACCTCTGCAAAGACAGTGATTATGTGCGAGTGAGGTGAAAGTGTTGAATGATGATGAAAGTATTTTCTTTTTGGGGATTTTCTTTCTTTTTTGGGTCACCCTGCCTCGGTGGGAGACAGCCAACTTGTTAAAAAAAAAAAAAAATTACCCTGTTTTATCTTTCAGCAAAAAGACATTGCACATGAGTATAAAGACTAAATTTCCACATGAAAATATAACATACCTACACAAGGGGTGAATAAGGGCCAGTTTGCCTTTTTACAGCTGTACAGGTCTGCCATCACTAATCCGGCATCATTGGGACCTGTAGTGTGCCAGATTAGTGAGTTTGCCAGATTACAGAGAGGTTAGGTTAGAATACACTTAATTAACCTATCAATAGAGACTGCTACATCTTCCTCACTTTCATCACTGCTTTCTCCTCCACTGGCTTGCTGCTGTGGATTTACAACCATCTGCACAATTTCTGAGTCAGTATAATGATGGAATTTGAGCCAGTATAATGATTTGAGTCAGTATAATAATGAAATTTGAAATTATGCTAGCCAAAATTAGTGCCAGATTACTTCTAGAATCGGATAACTGATTGCCGGATTAGTGATGACTGACCTGTACCATATTTTACTCTTAAAAAAAATTTTTTTTGTTTTGTTTTAACCCTTTGAGGGTCCATCCCATAGATCTACGGCTTTACGTTCAGGGTCCAAACCGTAGCTCTACGCCATGAGCTCAGCTCACTCTGATAAACTGTGAGTGGTAAATTTGGGCCTAGATATGAGAGAATACATCTATATGGTATGTGTGCACCACATAAAACAAATCCTGCAGCACACTGTGTATAATGAGAGAAAAAACTGAGACCGTGATTTTTTATTAAAACAGAGACTTTGCAGTGCTTTTTCCTATGTTTTTTATAGTTGTATTTGCAATTTCTTGGTCTCATTTGATAGAAATAGAGATGATTTTGATTGGTTTTAGCACTGGAAATGGCGTGAAACCGAGCTCAAAGTGGCGGAAATGTTAATTTTTTGCCAATGTTCAAGACTAAACAAACGACCTCACACGTCTAATACATGCCAGCTGGTGGGTCTAATATACATTCACAAATGTGGTGATGATATTTATACAATTATTACAATATTGCATAATAATAAATCTTCTATTTTTTGGTGTGAATAAAAATTCATTATGTGAATAAAAATTCAAAATGGAATTTATTTGTAAAGCCTCAAAACTAATGAACAGAAGAAATGGTAGTTTAGTGCCAGGAATACCTACATTGTTTATTCTGGACTCTATTCTGAAATTGGAATATTTTGAACTTTGTGTTAAATTGGCCAAATTACCAATTTCCGGTCACTTTATTTTGCAGTTGAAACAGTTGACTTGGCAATTTGTTGTGCTCAATCGATAGAATAGAAGTAATACTAGTGAAATAGCTAAGAATTTGGTCGACTGGAATAATGTAATTGGCCTAAAATGGGAGTCAAAGCCGGCAAAATCGCCGATTCGTAAATATCGCCGACACATCAAAATTCGCGAGAGCATAATTTCGTCAATTTTCCATCAAATTTCATACTTTGTTTTATTACCTTCACAAAAAGATTCTCTACCATTTCATAAGAAAAAAAACTTTTTTTTTTTTTTTTTTTTTTTTTTTTTTTTTTTTTTTTTTAATTCTTGGACACTGGGGCACCACTTCAGATTTTGGCCTTGGACCCTGAAAGGATTAAGCTAAATAAGGTATTGTATCTGACTGCTAAGTTTAATAAATAAATGTGTCTGTCTCCTAATTACTAAATGTAAAAAGGAGAAAACTTGATCAAGTTTTCTTCTTTTTCGGGTCACCCTGCCTATGTGGGAGACAGCCGGTGTGTTAAAAAAAAAAATACATCTCCTAAGCTCAGTAAACAATTGGGTGTTACTGATATTGGCTTACAACAGGTGATGGGACTAGAGGAGAAATTGAGGGAGTCGCAGACGCAGATTCAGCATTTGGAAACAGAGGGTGCTCAGTTGCGAGCGCAGGTCACCACACTCTCCACTCAGCTTGCTCATGCTCGAAGAGCACACAGCCCATCCACACCCTCATGCTGACAGGGTAAAGTGTTCCTAAAATCACTTGTGGTAGATTACACCAATGTTGAAAGTTTAAAGCTGATCAGAAGAGGCTTTCTCAAGTTATTGCATAGAAACCCAATCTAGAAATGGTTTAAATATAATTGAGCAGAGAGCACCTGCATATGCCAGTAGTTGTACAAACCTTTCACTAGTTTATATTATGCCAGCTTTGAAAAAATTGAAGCTGATTCGATGAGATATTCTCAGGTTATAAACGAGAACCTTAGAGGAAGAAAAAATATCAGGCAACCGCTAAGGTATGCTTCGGGGATACATAATTAAATATTGAATATTGTTGCCCTGATTTGAATCTCAGGTTAACCTGGGCATCTACAGAAAACGCAATTTGCTTGAAGAACCTTTCTTCTGGTCCCTATCTAGGTCATTAAGTGAGGGTTGACTGTAAAACAGATGCCTGGCAATTATTGCTAGGTTAGTTAGCCTTGTTGATATATCACAGGGATTTTCATATTAATGATCCTTTAAAGGGAGGTGCTTTGATGCTAGCAAAGGGCTCTTGATCTAAAAATGCTGGAGATACCCTTGCCTTGGGTCAACTATGATTACCTTTCCCATTATTTTAGGCATGTCCCAAATGAATATAATAGTTATACAGTTAATTTGTTCTGATTATGGAATATTGATAGGTGATGCTTGCCAGGTGTAATGTAATGACTCACAAAATCATAATAACCAGATTGCAAACAAACCACAAAACTGGTGGGGTTTGACCCCAGGGCAATCAAGTCCTAAAACTCCTGGATTACACACTGGCCTGGAGTTTTAGGACTCGCTTGCCATAAGTTCAAGTCCCACCAATTCCATGGTTTGTAATGTAGTGTTGGGAATACTTCCAGGTGTTACTAACCAAAGTATTACAAGTTAAGTGGAGGTGAAATTTATTAAATACTTGGTGTTGGATTCACTGTGTGTGTATGTATGGTGTTACAGGTGGGTGCTCTGGAAGGTGAAGTGTCTCGTCTTGCAGGACAGTTGGCAGCCAGAGACCAACAACTCAAGCAGGTGGGTGGAAATGGTTGGTCTTGGGAAGGACCTGCCTATGGGCCAGTAGGCCTGCAGCAGTGTTCCTTCATTCTTATGCTCATATGTATGTCCTCACCTCCATGCTGGTGGTGGTGCTAGTCTTATGGAGTGTTTCTGCATGATGTGTTGTGGTGGGGTTTGTGCATTATCCTTGGAGGTGCTTTTGTGGGGATGTTTGTGTTGTGTGTGGGTGTGCCTTAATGGTGGTGTTGTACATACCTACACTCGCCTCTTTGCTGACTGCTACTGTGTTCACTCTCTCCTGGCTTTGAGAGCCTTATCATACCTCTTTTTAAAGCTATGTATGGGTCCTGCCTCTACTGCTCCACTGTCGAGGTTGTTCCACTTCCTGACTACTCTAAGACTGAAGAAATACTCCTAACATCTCTGTAACTTATCTAAGTTTTCAACTTCTAACCGTACCCTCGTTTTCCTGTTTTATATCTCTCCAGCAATCCATCGCTATTCACCCTATCAATTTTGTAATTTATTTAATCTCCCTTACTCCTTCTGACTTACAGTGCCATCAGGCTGATTTCTCTTAACCTCTCCTCAAATTACATGTCCCTTAGCTCTAGGACTAGTCTCATTGTAAACTTTTACACTGTCTCCAATTTTTTGACATGCTTGACGATTCCACACTGGTCCTGCATACTCCATTGTGGGCCTGACATATCCAATGTACAGTGTCGTGAATGACTCGTGTAGATTTCTGAAAGCTAGTCTTAGACTTGCCAGACAAGCATCTGCTGCAGTAGTTATTTGATTGATATGTGCCTCAGGTAATAGGCTTCGTACAATACTTGCCCCAAGATCTTTCTCGTTGAATGAGGTTTGCAGTCATTGCTCCCCAAGCCTGTACTTTGTCAGCAGTCTTTGCCCTTTCCTAATGTTCATAGCTTTGCATTTCTTCTTCTTCTTTCAACGTACCGGCCGTATCCCACCAAAGCAGGGTGGCCCAAAAAGGAAAACAAAAGTTTCTCTTTTTAACTTCAGTAATAAATACAGGAAAGAGGTTACTAGCCCATTTCTACCAGCATGTTAGTCACCTCTTATGACACACATGGCTTACGGAGGAAGAATTCTGTTCCACTTCCCCAGGGAGATAAGGAAATAAACAAAAACAAGAACTAGTAAGAAAATAGAAGAAAACCTAGAGGGGTGTGTATATATACGCTTTTACATGCATGTGCAGTGTGACCTAAGTGTAAGTATAAGTAGCAAGATGTACCTGAAATCTTGCATGTTTCTGAGACAGAAAAAATACACCATCATGTAAAACAATTACAGGTTTTTGTTTTACACTCGCTTGGCAGGATGGTAGTACTTCCCTGGGGGGTTGCTGTCTACCAACCTATTACCTAGGAACTTTGCATTTACTTGAGTTAAATTTCATTAGTCACATGTCAGACCAGACCTGCAGCCTATTCAGGTCCATTTGTAGTCTTTCATAGTTATCACCTGTTTATATTCTTTTATTAGTTTCACATCATTTGCAAACAGGGATTCCTATGACTATCTTTTTGGTCATATTGTTCATGTATACAAAAAGTGGTACCTGTCCTTATATTGATCCTTGTGGAACCACACTCATCACATGCACTCATTCCAACACCTCTTAGACAGTCACTCATTTCTTTTCTGTGCCTTCCCTGTTATTCTGTCTTACCCCCATTAAGTTTTACCCCAATCTTTGTGCAGTACTATCTAAAGCCTTACAGTCCAAAAAGATGCAAACTACCCAGCCCACTCTTTCTCTCAGGCCTCACTTTTGTTACCTTGTAAAACTCCAGTAGGTTTATGAGACAGAATTTACCATCTCAAAAGCCATGCTGGATGTTGTTTATGAACCCATTCCTTTCTAGGTGATCCACCCCTCCATAACTTAGTACGTTTTGTATGTTAGTGACAGTGTGTTTTTGTGGGTTGGGTAGGGGTGTGGGGGTGATGTTTTGTTTGTTTTGGTGGTGTTATATGATGGTATTTGTGTTGTGGTGTCCATGTAATGTATGGTGTTGGTGTTGGATGAGCCTAGCACTGACATCACTGCTTCCTTCTACAGGTGACAGAGCAGGAGACTAGGGAAAAGCAGAGAGTCCAGGAGCTCCAGCAGGAGGTGGCCACCCTCACCAAATCTCGCAATGATGCCCTTCATAAGGTAAATTCTGTCAGCTTCTTCAAGCAGGGACATGATGTGCATTGTGGACTCTAGGAACAGCTATGCATTCTTCCTGTCAGTGTTCTACTATTTTTTTGAAATAGTCACTGATGTGCTGTAATTTGCTATTTCTTTAACTCTTTCAGGGTCGGTGCCATACATGTACAGTTTGAGATCCAGGGTCAGTGCTGTACTTATACACCAAAATTCTAGCGCTTTCAAATCGAGCAGAAGAAAGCTAGTGGGCCTACATATGAAAGAATGGGTCTGCATGGTCAGTGTGTGCAATATAAAAAATCCAGCAGCACACAGTGCATAATGAGAAAAAAAAACTGACCATGTTTTTGGTTTAAAACAGCGACTTTGCAGTGTATTTTCATATGGTATTAATGGTTGTAGTCTCGTTTTTTTGGTCTCATTTGATAGAATGGAAGATATATTACAGAAACAGAGATGATTTTGATTGGTGTCACGATGAAAAGTACCTTGAAATTGAGCTCAGAGTAGTAGAAAAGTTTGATTTTTGCCGATGTTCAAGAATAAACAAATCACGCCACACATTCAATACACATCAACTGGCAAGTCTAATATTCTTTCACAAGTGCACTGATATTATTTATACCATTTTTACAATAATGCAGTAGTCTGCATAACAGTAAATCTTCTATTTTTTGTGAGAATAAAAATTTAAAATGGCAAGCAAGAGTAATATATGAGGGGCTTGGAGACGTGACTAATGAACAGAGAAAATGTTATTTTAGTGCCAGGGATGTTTGTCTTGTTTATTCTGTACCCTATTTTGAAACTGGCATCTTTTGAAATTTGTGTGAAATTGGCCAAATTGCCAATATCTGACCACTTTATTGGGTAATTGAAATCACTAAATGGGCAGTTTCTTGTACTCAGTTGATAAAACAAATGGAGTTATAGCAAAATAACTATGATTTTAGTTGACTGGAACAATGGAATTGGCCAAAAATAGGGCTCAAAGTGGGCAAAATCGCTGATGCGCAAATATCGCAGATATCGCTAACTTCGTAAGAGTGTAATTTCATATGTTTTCCATCAAATTTCATACTTTTGGTGTCATTATCATCGGGAAAAGATTCTCTTTCATTTCATAAGAAAAAATCTTTGTTTTTTTTTTTTTTTTTGTTTTTTTAATTTCTCAACCCTGAGAGTGAGTTAAGGATCTGGGGCCTCGACTCTCAGAGGGTTAAAACACTGCCTATAGAGAGAATGTATGTACATAGCTGTGCTGTTGTTTACAGATACTGCCTAGTCTCGGTTTTCCACCAAAATCCTTTGAACTTGCATAGCACTTCATACAAAAACACTTTCTAAAAGATATTAACAAGTCTCAAACCCATTTATTATCTCTTCTTAATACTAATGTAATTATTACAATAAACTATGACTGTAGAACATTAGCTAGATACAGAGTAACAAATCATTGCAATTTATTCCAAGCTAAACGGCATTTCTAGTGATAACTTGTTGAAACATCTCAACCAACAGGACATCAGTAAACATATGTCTTCATATCTTAACACCCTCTTCATTTTACTGACCCCTTTTACAATGAGATTAACATTAATAATAATTTATATGTGTTACATTGCTTTTATTCATTATTCCTGAGCCTGATTATGTTCACAGTTGCAAAGAAGTAAAGGGTGAAATATTTTTACAATACTAATACATAAATAATATTAGCAATACAATAATAATAATAGCAATAACAATAATAAATAGCAATAACAATAATAGTAATAACCATTTTCGAAGTTTTCCACCAAGACACTTGTACACCACATGTGACAAATTTAATTACGGGGGTTAGGCAGCCTTATTACAAAATTCATATTAGTAATTCTCATTCTTAGTCCTGTTGAACTTTTTAAAAATTACCATAGTTATAAGAAAGCTAGAGGGAGATACATTTGACATATACACAGGACTCTGAAACAAACAATGGACAACAGGTGAGTTAGTCTAGTCTAACTCAGATGTCTTAACACAGTCATCTGAATTATAGATTCAGCATTAATTATTTGCATTGTTTGACACAGGTGTTGAACCTCAGCAAAAAATGCTCAGTCTAACTTAAGCATGTTAATACAGGATGCTGAACTATAGATATTTACCTTGTGTGTGTCAGGTATCAAGTATGGAGGCAACACTGGGTGACTCTCAGGAAACTTTGGAGGCCACCAAAATGATGGAGAAGTTGTGGGAGGCTCAACTGGCTAACATCGAGGAGGAGATGGCCAGGCTCTTGTGTGAGAGCAACCAACTGAAGGACTGTAACTCTGCCCTTCATGAGCAGGTGAGACTTTTTCACAACCCTCCTTAAGGTGAGGGGTCCTGCACCCTTCCTTCAGGTGAGGGGTCCTTCTGCACCCTTCCTTCAGGTGAGGGGTCCTTCTGTACCCTTCCTTCAGGTGAGGGCCCTTCCACACCCCTCCTTCAGATGAGGACCCACACCCCTCCCTCAAGTAAGGACCCTTCCACACCCCTCTTTCAGTTGAGGACTCTTCTACACCCCTCTTTCAGTTGAGGACCCTTCCACACCCCTTTTTCTGTTGAGGACCCTTCTGCACCCTTCTTTCAGTTGAGGACCCTTCCTTTGGGTGAGGACCTTTTTGCACCCGTCCTTCAGGTGAGGACCCGTCCACACCCTCTTTCAGTTGAGGACCCTTCTACACCCCTCTTTCAGTTGAGGACCCTTCCACACCCCTCTTTCTGTTGAGGACCCTTCTGCACCCCTCTTTCAGTTGAAGACTCTTCCTTTGGGTGAGGACCCTTTTGCACCCGTCCTTCAGGTGAGGACCCTTCCGCACCCCTCCTTCAGGTGTAGCCCCTTCTACACCCCTCCTTCAGGTGAGGCCCCTTCCACACCCTTCTACTCCCCTCCTTCAGGTGAGGACCCTTCCACACCCTTCTACTCCCCTCCTTCAGGTGAGGACCCTTCCACACCTCTCCTTCAGGTGAGGACCCTTCCACACCTCTCCTTCAGGTGAGGACCCTTCCACACCTCTCCTTCAGGTGAGGACCCTTCCACACCTCTCCTTCAGGTGAGGACCCTTCCACACCTCTCCTTCAGGTGAGGACCCTTCCACACCCCTCCTTCAGGTGAGTGAGGACCCTTCCACACCCCTCCTTCAGGTGAGGACCCTTCCACACCCCTCCTTCAGGTGAGGACCCTTCCACACCCCTCCTTCAAGTGAGGCCCTTCCGCACACCTTCTTCAGGTGAGGACCCTTCCACACACCTTCAGATGAGAAGGACCCTTCCATATCCCATCTTCATATGAAAGTCTCTCTGCACTCCTCTAGGTGACCTTGCCACCATAACAGGTGAAAGTTATTAGCACTACGGATTCTAGATCCAGGGCAAATCAATGAGAGAATGAAATTTACTGCCATGTTTAGTGCTTGCTGTGAAGCTCATCATGCTGATGTCCACACTAATATTGTGTGTGTTTACAGTTGTCAGCACGAGACTCTGAGATGGATGCCCTGAGGCGCCAAGTGAGGGCACGAGAGGCCCAAGTAGAGGAGCTTCGCCAGGCCAGAGACCTCTTGGCCAACGATGCCCAGGTAATGTGCCACATCTGTCTTGCATGTGCTCCTACACAAGCTCACTCACACAAGGATACATTCACATACACTTGCACTTAAATATAGCACACTCACATATGTGTGCCCATACATGCACGCACAGGAAACAATAAACTGCTTGTAACGATTTGTAACCCTTTTTCCACTTGAGTCCTTGAAAGAATATGAGAGGACTTTTGTGTGCTTATGAGTTAGTGTCCCTGTCCTCAAGGACTGTCCATGTCTGTGCAGGTGGTGGTGGCAGCTGTTAAGCAGTGGCTTCACGAGCAGAAGACTGCTAATTCTAAACTCGCTGGGAAACTTCACCACCAGAACAAACAAATTCTCCTCCTCAACACCGAGAAGCAGTGAGTGTCTTTTTTTTTGTTAGACAAAGCAAGAGAGGGAAAGAGAGTGAGAGCTGGTCACTGATTCATAAACTAATGAGACACTTTGTCAGTTTGTATTGTTCGTGTCTATTGCCTTTGGATGTATATGTATACAGTAAACCCTCTATTTAAATGAGCTAATTGAGGTCAGCAGGTGGCCAGTAATGACAGCTGTGATGGATAGAGAAGATTGTTTTGCCATGATTGTAACTGTGGTGAACAATTCTGCGACCAGAGGACTTTGTCCATTGTTTCCAAATCTATTGATCCAGGGGATTTTGTTCCCTATTTCCCAACCCCATTAAATGGAGGGTTTACTATATATAGCATGTGTTTGTGTCAAGCCAGTTAGTGTGTGTAGCTGTCTGTCCACGTTTAGCACAGCTGACATGTACGTACCTTCCTGCAGGTTCTTGGCCGAGCGAAACACCAGCCTCCAAAGGACTAACCATGACCTCTCAGTCCAGCTCCATGACCTCCGAGTACGAGTGGGCCTTCCTCTCACCCCCACACCACCTGAGGTGACTGTATGCCTCCATACACTGTATTGATGTCTGTACATGTCTACTATGTGCATGTCCTTTATACAAATCACCATACACTATACATATCTATAAATATTTTACACTCCTCTACATAAATTTATATATATACATCTCCGTACATGATTTACACACAACCATACACCCCTAGATTATAATAAGTTAACCCTTGACTACTGTAACTTATCCCATTTATTGCTAAAACTCAACCCATTAATTACTGTAACTGAATCCGTTGATTACTGTAACTTCACTCATTGATTACAGAAGGTGGGCAAAATTGGCAGGATAGCATCCCCATCCCTTGGGACATATCAGAACCTGGGAATGTCCCCAACTCGGCCACTGTCCACTGGTGCCTACCTTGACAATTTCCTGGGGCTTTCTAGTCCTCTAGACACCAAATATGAGGATGTTCTAAGTGTAAGTATAATGTCTTCAAAGACTGGCTGTATGGGACAGTCATTTCTTCAAAAAGTTGGGTATTTTGGAGATGCTAGAGTCATCCTAGATTCATTTTTCATTAAGATTATGAAGTCATTATTTATTGGTTTAGTCATTATTAGGTGTTTTGGTTACACAGGAGTTAGCTTAACTGTAATGTCACCATACTTCGAGAAAGACGGCAACTGAGCGAATGCTGGTAAATGCGTTTTTCTTTGGGTCTCCTGCCTGGCTGGAGATGGCCATTGAGTTTAAAAACAAACTAGAGTTAATTGTTGATACTAGTCATATATTACTGAATTCCTGGCCTCATGGCACCTATTGGACTTACTTCTAAAGCTGAATATGTAATTTACCTGCACAACTTCCTCATCTAGATTGTTACACTTCCTAACAACCACTCTCAGACTGAAGTAGTACTAACTGATGCCTCTGTGGTTTATTTTTGTCTCTAGTTTATCCCTCTGTCTTTTTTGTCTTGCATGTCATGACTATGTTATTCCCTGGTTTCCCTGTCCTCCATTATTATTATAATCAAGGGGGAAGCGCTAAACCGGAGGATTATACAGCGCCTGGGGGGGGGGGATGTGGAAGGCATTCAGGCTTAATTCGGGGAACTGGAGCACAGATCCAATTCCCTAAATCAAGAGCCCCTCACCAACATCGAGGAACCTTCCTTGAGGGGTCCCTGTCCTCCAGTGTTGCAATATTTGATGCCTAGTCTTTCTAAATACCATAGGCTGTTCCTCGTAACTCCATGATTAACCGGGTAGTAGGCCTCCAGATTTTCTCCTAATTTTTGGATATTCCTGATAATGTGAGGGCTCTGTGCTGGTACTGCTGTCTCTTTACTAGTTCTGACATGTGTGTTTTTGTATGTTTGTGTGTGTGCTTTTGTGAGTGTGCATTTGTGTGTGTGCATTTGTATGTGTACTTGCCTAATTGTAGTTGCAGGGGTCAAGTCACAGCTCCTGGCCCTGCCTCATCACTGGTTGCTACTAGGCCACTCTTCCTGCCCCATGATCTTTATCATACCTCTTCTTGACAACTCTGTGACTGAAGAAATACAGTACTTCCTAACATCCCTGTGATTCATCTGAGTCTTTAACTTCTAATTGTGACCCCTTGTTGCTGTGTCCCATCTCTGGAACATCCTGTCTCTGTCCACCTGTCAATTCCTCTCAGTATTTTGCGTGTCATTATCATATCCCTCATCTCTCCTGTCCTACAGTGTCGTCAGGTTGATTTCCCGTAACCTCTCCTCGTAGGACATGCCCTTTAGCTCCGAGACTAGGCTTGTTGCAAACCTTTGCACTTTCTCTAATTTTCTTACGTGCTTGGCTAGGTGTGGGTTCCAAACTGGTGCCACATACTCCAGTATAGGCCTGACGTACACAGTGTGTGGGTGTATGTGTGTGTGTGTGTGGTGTGTATGTTTGTATGTGGTGTGTGTGTGTGTCTGTGTGTGTGAGAGAGAGAGAGAGAGAGAGTAAAAGTGAGTGAGTGAGATAGAGAGAGATGTAGATACGTATATGTATAGTATATACATGGAGAGAAAGGCAAGGGAGGAGGTTAGGAAAGGGGTAATAGGGAAGAGAAAGAAAAATAAAATCCGTGCACTGTATATATGAAACACTTGAAGCTGGAGAGTAACTTAGAGTGTGGTGTACAGACATGTTCATCAGAGGGCGGCAGCAGCAGCAGCAGCGGGTGTCAGGTACCAGGACTTGACCTGCCTGGAGCATCACATCTGGAGCGACTTGCACATTTAGCTGACTCCCTCCTCATCGCTTCCAGGCAAGTAGGCTGACACTATGCAAATGACCTCGATGGACCTCAAAGCTCCAAGAATGGAATTTAATTACCTTTGTAATTAGTGATCTAAGACTGCTGATGTTTGTTCTGTTATTAGTTGTTTTTCAACTCAGCAAAGCTTACCTTTATTTGTGTGGTTCAGCAATGTACTGCACAAGCAGTTACCTTCTCATTTATATGTAATGAGTAGAATTGTTTAATGTTATTACTCTAATGGAAATGCATGTTATCACTTGACTCCCCTTCCTCATTACAGGAACATCAGTAGAGCTTCAGGCCTCATTTCTAGCTATAACCCAGGAAAAATTACTTCAGCCATCTCCCTGGGTGACCTCACATCAAGCACTACATTAAGTCAAATGAGGTCAACTTTGGCACTTTCTAAAGCAACATCATCATCAACTGGCAACTTGGCTTCCTTCCTCTCCCATGACAGAAGTGATGATGCCATGAGCCCTGTATCTAAACTGAGTGGGAGGGTCACCGACTTCACCTTGTTATCACCAGGGCCAAGAGTCAAGTGCCGAGGAAATGAAGTCATCTTAGCTGCCCCAGTGAAGGAGAGGAGGTCATCACTTCGTATGTACAACAATGACAGCATAGAGGAGGCAGATGAAGAAGAGGTGCCAACCGATCATGCTACTAGCAAAATCCATACACTACATAAGCCATCTTCCTCCTTCAGGAAGTCTTCCAGAACATCTCCTTCCTCCAGCATCCTCCCGAGGTCCTGTAGTGCTTCACAAGGGTCATCCAGAACCTCCCCAGCATCCAGTACATCGCAAGGATCTTCTAGTACCTTGCATGAGTCTTCCAGTAATTTACATGAATCTTCCAGCACCTTAAAGAAATCATCTAGTGTCTCCTCAGTCTCTAGTACATTACAGGGGTCTGTATAATAATTTTAAGGGCTGTTCAGATTCTTAGTAATTATTCAATTATGGTCAGTTACCATTGTTTTTAAGGTGTTCATTAACTGTGAAATTGATCAGTGCCTTGTAGGGATTGACCAACACCTTGTATAATTGAAACAGCACCTTGGAGGGATTGACCAATACCTTGTATGATTGAAACAGCACCTTTTAGGGGTCATCCCTTGGGCTATAGCAGTGATTAGAATGTCCTAGGCATCCAGAATCCAGCAGCAGCAGTGTTCACTGTCTTCCAGATGTCATTAGAAATCAATAAGTAGTTTTATAGGCACTTAAAGCATTGGACTGTTGCTGGAGCTGCAAGGCATGATGTATGTGAAAAGTCTCTATTAACTAGAACTTTGTATATGGAGGAACATAGATGTGACATGTTTATGGCATACAAAATACTTTTTCAGTTTCATCGTTTTTTTAACAATAATAAAATACTCTTGGGATAAATATGATCAACAAGGACAAAAGTCTGACCTGGTAGGATTCAGAAAGAGCAAATGCAAGCTGAGCACTCATGAGAGAGGTTGTGAAGCATTTTGTCATAAGAGTAATAAGGAACTGGAATAGGTAAATAATATCAGGTAAACTTGTTGACTCCACCTAGGGGTTCCAACATCAATACATAGTATTGGGCTGATTCACATTAGTCACTTGAAAGAGACGGGACCAAGTGTTTCAATCCCCGTCCCCCCTCATTCCTTATTAACTCCTCTAGGTAATTGCACTCACTCATGGTATGGGTGATGTTCCTACACTTGATCACACATACTTACCCAAGCTCTATGGTGATTTATCATGTACTCTATATAGGGTAATTACTAATTTTCCCATGACTGTGTTACTACATATTTCAAGGAGAATTTAAACCAATTATGTATTACATATTTGTGTATATATTGATTTTGCAAGAAATTACTGTGAATATTCTAATTAAAGAGGTTCTGTTACTTCACAATACTGAAAACTTCACTTGACTTACATCACAAATAAAGGCTACCAAAAATTATCTATTTTCCAGCAAATATTTCTCATTTTTTTTTTAAGTTTTTGAGGATCAGCAACCTTGAATTACTTATTGTTGCATACCAAACTCATAAATAAAAAAGTATAGATACAGTGGAACCTCTACTTGCGAGCGTGTCTATGTGCGAGTTTTTCCAAATACGAGCAGTCGATGGGTCGATTTTTTGCTTCCATACGCGAGCAAAATTTCCACAAGCGAGCAGACCTCAAGGCAGGTTCATTGACGCTGGTGAGGGACTCTTGCTCTTGATCTCGGGAATTGTATCTCATTTGTTCGTTGGACTATCTTATTGAAACTTGGGCAATGTATGATGGAAAGATGCTTCTTAACGTACACCAAAAATGAAAAATCTAAGCATAAATAATGGAGTTCACTTCTCAGCAATTAGCCACCCCTTTGCAGTAATTTCGAATGGTTTTTATGGTTGTATTCTCGTTTTTTTGGTCTCATTTGATAGAATGGAGATATATTACAGAAATAGATACGATTTTAATTGCTTTCACGATGAAAAGTACCTTGAAATAGAGCTCAACCTAGGAGAAATGGTCCATTGCTTGACTGTTTCAGAGTAAACAAATGACATCACTGTCCATTCCAATATGCAATCGTGAATGGGTTGACATTATTTATACAATTATTGCAATAAGGAATAACAGTAAATCTTATATTTTTTGTGTGAATGAAAATTACAAATTTTTTTTTTTTTTATTATCACACTGGCCGATTCCCACCAAGGCAGGGTGGCCCGAAAAAGAAAAACTTTCACCATCATTCACTCCATCACTGTCTTGCCAGAAAGGTGCTTTACACAACAGTTTTTAAACTGCAACATTAACACCCCTCCTTCAGAGTGCAGGCACTGTACTGTAATAATAATACATATAATAATAATAGTATAATAATATAATACAATAATAATCATAATAATAATATAATACAATAATCATAATAATAGTATAATATGTATAATAATAATCTTCTTTCTTTCAACACACCGGCCGTATCCCACCGAGGCGGGGTGGCCCAAAAGGAAAAATGAAAGTTTCTCCTTTTACATTTAGTAATATATACAGGAGAAGGGGTTACTAGCCCCTTGCTCCTGGCATTTTAGTCGCCTCTTACAACACGCATGGCTTATGGAGGAAGAATTCTTTTCCACTTTCCCATGGAGGTAAGAGGAAATAAACAAGAACAAGAACTAGAAAGAAAATGAAGAAAACCCAAAGGGATGTGTATATATATGCTTGTACATGTATGTGTAGTGTGACCTAAGTGTAAGCAGAAGCAGCAAGATGTACCTGAAATCTTGCATGTGTATGAGACAGAAAAAAGACACCAGCAATCCTACCATCATGTAAAACAATTACAGGCTTCAGTTTTACACTCACATGGCAGGACGGTAGTATCTCCCTGGGCGGTTGCTGTCTACCAACCTACTACCTAGGTATAATAATAATGTACTACATATAATAATTATAATAATAGATGGCTTCAAAAGGCTGTCACTAGATGGCAGTGTTTACCAAAATAAAGAGGGAGCGGTTGTGGCCGCCTCCACCTGTTACATAATGACATTTTATTCATTCTAGAGTATACATCATGTTTCTATGTTATTTATATTGTTGTCATATTAGATGAACTGTGATAGATAAATAAGCCGTATAGATGATGATAGCTAAATTATTCTTGAAGTATTTTGCCTGGTCTCCAGACACTCTTGTCCACCGCCGACACCGCCCATACCACTACATGAATGACATATTTTATTCATTCTAGAGTATATATCATGTTTCTATGTTATTCATATTGTTTGCTATGTCATATTAGATGAACTGTGATATAAATAAGCTGTATAGATGATATTAGCGAATTATTCATGAAGTATTTTGCCCAGTCTCCAGGCAAACTCGTCCACTGCCGACACTGCCCATACCACTACATGAATGACATATTTTATTCATTTTAGAGTATATATATCAGGTTTCTATGTTATTTATATTGTTTATTATGTCATATTAGATTAAGTGAGATAGATAAATAAGCCGTAGAGTTGATATTAGCGAAATTATTGAAGTACAGAATTCCACTGGAACGGATTAATTGCATTTCAGTTAATTTAAATGAGGAAAATTGACTCTGCAAACGAGCAAATCCAGTTGCGAGCAAGGTCATGGAACGGATTAAACTCGCAAGTAGAGGTTCCACTGCATATTAATAGATCATATTAATGGTAGACAGTACCAACAAGTTGATAAATAAGACACATGTACAACATTTTGGTATCTTTATTTCCAAAATGTTTCAACTGCACATCAAGCTTCTGCAGTGGAGCACAAGAGGTGACTGATACACCTGAGAGGGACAAAAAAAGAGACTGAGGTGTTCAATTCCTCAGTCTTGATAAAAGGGGAGGTAATTTTGAGGTGTAATTTTTAGTGATCAATGTTATGAATTCAACAGTTTCTATTAAGGCTTAGGGAGTACCTTAAAATTGCCTCCCACTTCCATCAAGCTGAGGGACTGAACACTTCAGTCTCTTCTCCACTTCTGTACTTGACTGAAGAAGTCTGCTGTGCACTCAAAAAATTGGGAAATAAAGATGCCAAAGTGTTGGAAGTATCTCTTATTATTAGTACAATATGTACATGTTCATTTAGCCAGCTTTTCCATGACCAAACTGAAAAAAAAATGCAACAGAGTAAAATTGTCAAGTTTCTCAGTAACCACAAGTTAGTTTATCTTCTCAGTGTTACATACAAAGATTATGCTGATCTGATGACTGTGCAGGTGTGACCTACTTGGTCTGACCTGGTGTAATGTACCTCATCTGTGACAATGTGACATACCAGAATTACTAGTGTGTTGTACAAGGAAAGTGCTGGTGTGACATATCAGGACTGTGTTGGTGTGGTGTATGAGGACAGTGCCAGTATGTTGCATCTGTACATTGGCAGTGTGATACATGTGGACAGTGTCAGTGTGACTTACAAGAACTATGTCAATATGATGTATGAAGATCCTGCCTGAGTGATGCACCTGGACTATGTCAATGTAACATAGCAGGATTATGTATGTGGGAAGCACAGGAAGCATCCTGTTATAAAACCTCTAATACAAAGTAAGTGCAACATCCTTATAATAATAGTTGCTGTAGTTGCCATAGCTTTTGTCATTCAACCCCTACTCTCAGTCTTGATATTTGAAGCCCCGGTCACTGGCCTTAGATGTTGGAGGGTATCCCTAACATTACACCATGGATGTGGATATTCTTTCCCAACCTAAAATAACGGTTCTTCCTTTGCTAACCCGACCTTTGTTATCCACATTGAAAAATCTACAATAATAATGGCTAGGACTAAAACCTCCAGAAGCTGATATGACTGAATATTTCAATCTTGGACAAATTTGGATATTTATCCCTGGATATTTCTTAAACATACCTAACCTAAAGTAACAGTTCTTCCCTGACTAACGACCTTTATTTTCCAGGGAAAAATGTTCAGACCTTAAATATTGGACATTTCAGTCCCAGGTTTTTCAACCCCAGACATTTCAACATGGATATTTCCTAACGTACCTTAACCTTGAGTAACCATTTTTTCTTTACTAACTTGTCCTTTGGTATCCATGTTGAAACATTCAGGACTGAAACATCGCATTGAAATGTTTAGGGCTGAAACATTCAGGGGTGGAACTTTCAGGGCTGAAACATCAGGGTTGAAATGTACAGAAACTGATACTTCACTATTTCAGAGCAAATAGTTAAAAAGAACATCAAACTTCACAGCTATTCAAATCAGCTACCTCACTATAACAGGTACTGTACTGCATAATATCATGAAGGATATTTTAATGTGAATCCCTGTGTCGCAGGTAGCATACCTTTCCTAACATTACAAGTGAGGCAATACTAACAACATTACTGTGAAACCAAGGAACCAGAGCTACCCACTCTTTACCTGGATAAAACCAGATCACCTCCCATTTCTCATATGCCAAATGACCCCTACAGGGTTATCATTTCCCCCAAGAATAGTCAGCTCTCTCTCTCTCTGATAGAAGTTCCCTCTTTTTTTTTTATACATCAATTTTACAGGCTAAGAGCTGTTATTCTACCTCAACTCATTTCAAAGCCAAGCCCTATCTAAGGTATACTACCATCCCTTCCCCTTCCCCAGGATGTGACCCACAATGGTCAACTAGCATCCAGGTACTTACTGCTAGGAGAACAGGGACAGTAAGTGTAGAGAAACATGCTCTTTACAGTGCAATTTTCATTTTTGTGATGGACCAAGCACATTGAACATTTATATCATGTATGTATTGTGAGGGCTTTCCATGTATTCAATTCTGGATGCTTTTATTCAATTGCATTTTTAAAAAACTTGCACTGTATAGAGGAACTTTATAAGCAAGCTGATTGTATAATAATAATTATTAAGCAAAATATAACACTCATTCCTGGTCCACTAAAATTTACCATTTTTTCATTAACACAAATATTTCTTATGGTCCAGAATTTTTTTGCATTTTTAGAATAATTTTGTGATAGACTTTGATACTTAATTGCAAGTGATGCCTTAATCTTTTAAGCTAATAGCTTAGTATAGCATATGTAACTGTATATTTATGTAAATTAGGAATTGTTATGCACAATAAAAAATGCTTATTAATTAATTTTTAATATCCAGTGAGTAACAATAAGTCTATAGACTTCAGTGATCAATAAGGCTACTATAGTATATTTACTTTTTATCACCCATATGACTGTAGTGCTGTTTTAATAATAGTGCTTTTTCTTGGCTACTGCAATACTAATCATCAAGTATAATATTATCCTTATTATAATTATGACTCTGAGTATAATGATCTCAGTTTAACCCTTAAACTGTCCAAACTTAGATCTATGTTTGCACGCATAGCACTCCGACCTTGATTTTCTCCATAAGAATGTAAAAAAAAAGTAGATCTACATTCGGAGCGATACGCGAGCAAACGTAGATCTACGTTTGGACAGTTTAAGGATTAATGAAGTGAGTGTACTCGCAACTCATGAAAACTATCCAGTCATGGTATTGTGCCGTTTTGTTCTAAATGTAAACAGTTGTTTATATTTACCCCAAGTAAGTTTCTGTGTACAGTATGTTGACAGTAATATGGACAAGAGCTGGCACTGCCCACTGGCTAATAGTTGGGTTGGGGTTTCTCATAAAGCTTATGAATGAGTTGTATATGTGGCTTTCACCCCCTTCCCAGGAAATAGTTTTCTGGTTGGGGCTCTCTTATGACCTTTTATTGTCTGTTTGTTAATGTGATGGACTGTGGGTTTGAATCCTGTTAATTTTTTAGAACTGTCTTAGTTACCGTAAATTTATACATATTGTAGAAGAGACTTCATCATGGCGTTACTGTTGGTGCATCAAAGTGTATTATTATTATTATTATAATCAAAAAGAGCATCAAAGTGCAATGAACACTGATCAGTGAAAGAGGACCTTATTGAGCTGGAGGTCAAACTATATATATAGGTAATCATTCCTTTTAATCTTTTTCTCATGGGATTTCCCTCACTCATTCTGTATATATCTGGATACTTAATAACACACACACATACCATACACAGGTACAGTATATTGCAATAACTCATTACAGTATCGCTAATTTAGCAGCTCATTCTTGCACCACAAGTAATAATCATCCACATTTGTAGGTTTTTCCTTTATTTTTGGACACCTCGTCCCCTAAAGGGAGGGTTAATGATGCTGGGAGGGGCTTGTGATTCATTGCATCAAACCTATCTGCCTCCCATTTCCTAGGCACTGCAAAACCACTATGGGTTTAGCACTTCTCCTTCAATATAATAATTGGCCATCTTGTTACCAGGTGAGTGGTGACATTTTTCTATATCTTGCTTATTTGGGACCAAATGTACATTGCTGTAGGTTTGTGTAGCCCAACCCTCCCTCACTTAATTTAACCTTACTAAAAGAAAATAACGGTTACTATTTAAATTTTCAGGAAGCATTAAGAAACTGACTTTCAGAACCTCATAAAAAAATTAGTGTAGTAAAATAAGGATAGGTGGAATTTAGGGATGAAAAATACATTTGTAAATATTCACTAACTTTATTCAAAACTACACACAAATAATAATAATAATAATAATAGTAATATAATAGCACTGTTTATGATAAAACAGTACAAGAGAATCATAGTGGTAAAAAATTTATTATATACTTAACCAGTGCCCAATCAACTCGACTCAGCACTGTATGACCCATACAAGTTTAGCGCCTGTGTGTGAATACAGTATGATAATATCAGCTTTACTTCTGCAAAAAAAATAAATTACATCACATTAGAAAGCACAAGCGAATTGCATTATAAATGGCACTTGTCTACACAATTTTATGGGATTTATCATTGTATATCTATTAGACGTGAGGAAACACTGAACCACATTGTATGGTGATATAGTATAAGGGTGAATATTAAGCCTGCTCATTTTGAGGCAGTTTGCAAGAAATCTTTCTACTACTACCCCAAATTCCATAAATTCTTTGGTCCCATGACTATAACTTCCTCTGTGGTTCGTATATCTACGTTATTATATTTAGGGGAAGTGCAAAATCCACAGGGGTGTTAAACAGCACCTGAGGAATGGGAGGCAATCAGGTTTGGTGCAAGGAAGTGGATAATAAGTACAATTCCTTGGATCAAGAGCCTATTGCCAGGATTGAGAAACCTCCCCTGATCTATAGTTTTTCCTTCAAGAGAAGCACCTTGATGCTCATGAACAGGTCTTGATAAAAGGAACTGGAGCTACCTTCCTATGAATCAAGTTTGACTACCCTCCATTTCCCAGACACTTGTACAACCCCTCGTGGTTTAATGCTTCCCCTCATGAATACACCCGAACTAAATATGCTTTTGTCACTACACTGTCATATTACACAAACTCAGCATCCTGTATCTCGCTGTATGCAAGAGGCCCAGCAGCTGTACCTCACAAACCTCAAGAGGTAGAGGAGCTACAGCTCATCTCAAGAAACCTAAGAGCTATAATTCAACCCTCCTAAGAAATTCATGTGCTGGGGATAAACACCTTTGAGAGGCTCAGGAGCTGAAGATCAACACTCTCAAGAGATTCCAAAAGTCAGTGTCTGATTGGCTGGGAGGTGGCTCATACGTTGGATTGCATTCTACCAGCAGTAACATCCTGGCTGATCAGGCCCTGATCCACTGGGAGGCCTGGTCAGATCGGGCCTTTGGGGTGAGGGGCATGGACCCTCGGAACACCCTCTATGTAGGTAGAGGCCCAGGAGCTGTAGCTCAACACCCTCAAAGAAGTCCAGGAGCTTGAAACCAACCCAGTCAGAAACTGAGCAAGTTTGAACTTACACAGCACAAAATGCACCCCAATCTTTTCCTAGGTAAGACAGGAACATTGAAACTATGAAGCTGATCAGAAGTACTGCTTCACATCACACTAATCTTGGAAGGAAAAAAACTCTTGACTACTTCATACATCCCTTTTTTTTGGGAGGGGAAAAGGATACCTAGTAATAATAATATCAGCAGTATTAATATAATTTTCCAACACATAATTGACAAGATTTTTACTCGTACTTTTGTAAATCAGTTTGCTCTGACTTATATGGGCTAATTATTAATTTATTATTTAATAAAATAAAATAATTTAGCATTATATGAGTGAAACAAATAAATACAGGCCGATTACATTTTGATTACAATGATAATAAGCTTCAAATACATTTTCTCTTCAAGCTTGGAAGGCGCTTGATGCTGGCAAAGGGTTCTCAATGTAAGGAATTGGAGCAACTCAACCCTTGGATCAAACCCAGTTACCTCCCATTTGCCAGGTACAATATGGCCAGTACAGATGCAGCTCTTCCCCATGACTGCAATAATACAGTAATTCAGATATTCCAGCCTTACTTATGGAGCTGATGATCAACTGGGAACAGAGTCAGCAAGGCAATGATACAAACTGACAAGTGCAAACACACACACTAGTAGCTGTGGATCCTTTCAATACAACATTTTGCCCAAGGCTGGATCTCATAAAGTGAAACTTGAGCATGTGATAGAAGCACAACTGTACTGCTAAGATTAATTGAAAGTGAATCTAATGCCTGGGTAGCCTATCAGTGAGTAGCTTACTATTTGGTGTGGTTGTTAATTTACTGCTCCTGTTTCTCAATGGCCACTTTAAGCTGTGATAATTTGTGTCTTGTCTGAAATGAAGCGCCACTGTACTACGTCAAGGTAACTTGACCAGTAAAGTCGCGTACCCTGGTCTGATGCCCACATTCACTTCCTGGCCAGGCCACTTTCCCTTCCTCTTGTCACTGTTTTTAACAGTGCTGTGACCCTTAGGGTTCAGTGCTTAAATTGATAATTATAAATTCTTAGTCCCTCTTGAAATGCCAAACCAAAAATATTTCAGAATGCTACATGTCCTTGTAGATTCCTTGATGCTGGTAAGGGGCTCTTGATGTAAGGAACTGAACCTGTCCTCCAATACCCTCCACTGAACCTGAGTGCCTCTCATTCCATCAGATGTTGTGCATCCCCCAGAGAGTAATTTAATGTTGTATTACCCATTAAAATTTAGTGGTTTCTTGTAAATAAAGGTATAACACTGTTTATCACTTTCCATGAAGATGATAATGTAAATATAATAACACACTTTGAAAAGGAAACCCAGCAGATATGTAATATTGTATTAAAAGCCACTTACAGTTTTACAAGTACACTAATAGTTTTATGAAGTACTATTCAAAGGTGCCATAAATGAGTCAGAGGACAGCCACCTGGCTCTCCTAGTTCATACAGTGACTAAGGGCAATGTATAGTGTAAATATTATGCAGAGAATTCATAGTGTGGAAATTAAGAGATGTGGAGTTACTAAAAGTATTAGAGGGCTGAAGAGAGGTTGTTGAGGTGGTTTGGTCATTTAGAGAGAATGGAACAAAGTAGAATGACTTGGAGAACGTATAAATCTGTAGGGGAAGGAAGGCAGGGTAGGGGTCGTCCTCAAAAAGGTTGGAGGGAGGGGGTAAAGGAGCTTTTGTGGGCGAGGGGCTTGGATTTCCAGGAAACATGTGTGACCATGTTAGATAGGAGTGAATGGAGACATGGGTTTTGGGACCTGACAAGCAGTTGGAGTGTGAGCAGGGTAATATTTTGTGAAGAGATTCAGGGGAACTGGTTAGCCAGATTAGAGTCCCGGAAATGGGAGCTAAAATGCCTGCACTTTATAGGAAGGGTTTGGGATATTGGCAATTTGGAGTGACTATCTAAACTGTCGTATCTGGGCGTCTCTGCTAAGACAGTGATTATGCATGAGTGATGGTGAAAGTGTTGACTGATAGTGAAAGTTTTTTTCTTTCTTTTTGGGTTTTTCTTTCTTTAGGGTCACCCTGCCTTTGTAGGGAGACCGGTGTACTGTTAAATAAAAAGCATTACAGTACGTAATATGTAGTATGTATGATAATATATATATATATTTTTTTTTTTTTTTTTGTCAACAACGTGGTTCCGTCTCCACCAGGCAAGGTAAACCCAAAAAAGAAAGAAAATCCCAAAAGAAAATCTTTCATCATCATTCAACACTTTCACCACACTCTGCACATTATCACTGAAGTTTGCAGAGGTGGTCAGAATACAACAGTCCAGAACATACACATATAAGGGATACACAACATATCCCTCCAAACTGCCAATATCCCAAGCCCTCCTTTAAAGTGCAGGCATTGTACTGCTCCGGTGGGAGACGGCCGACATGTTGAAAAAAAAAAAAAATGTATAATATTTATGACATATATATATATATGAATATATAATATATATTATATAATAATATATACAGTGGACCCCCGCTTAACGATCACCTCCAAATGCGACCAATTATGTATGTATTTATGTAAGTGCGTTTGTACGTGATGTTTGGGGTTCTGAAATGGACTAATCTACTTCCAATATCCTATGGAAAAATGCGGTCAGTACTGGCACCTGAGCAACTACTGGAATGAAAAATGTTCGTTAACCTGGGTTGTCCACTGTATATATATTTATATAATAATTATATATAATATATATATATATATATAATATATATATATATATATATATATATATATATACATACATACATACATACATATATACAGTGGACCCCTGCATACCGTTGGCATAACATAATGTTAAATCCACATACTGATACATTTTATCGCTAAGACTTTGCCTCGCATACCGCTAAAAAACTCGCTCAACGCTATTCGTCTGAGACGCGTCTAATGTGCGGCCTGAGCCAGCCTCACATGTTCCGTGGGTGGCATTGTTTACCAGCCAGCCTCCGCGGTAACATCCAAGCATACAATCGGAACATTTCGTATTATTACATCGTTTTTGGTGATTTTATCTGCAAAATAAGTGACCACGAGCCCCAAGAAAGCTTCTAGTGCCAGCCCTACAGGAATAAGGGTGAGAATTACTATAGAGATGAAGAAAGAGATCATTGCTAAGTATGAAAGTGGAGTACGTGTCTCCGAGCTGGCCAGGTTGTATAGTAAACCCCCAATCAACCATCGCTACTATTGTGGCCAAGAAAACGGCAATCAAGGAAGCTGTTCTTGCCAAAGGTTCAACTCTGCTTTCAAAACAGAGATCGCAAGTGATAGAAGATGTTGAGAGACTCTTATTGGTGTGGATAAACGAAAAACAGATAGCAGGAGATAGCATCTCTCAAGCGATCATAAGTGAAAAGGCTAGGAAGTTGCATCAGGATTTAATTAAAAAAATGCCTGCAACTAGTGACGATGTGAGTGAATTTAAGGGCAGCAAAGGTTGGTTTGAGAGATTTAAGAAGCGTAGTGGCATACATAGTGTGATAAGGCATGGTGAGGCTGCCAGTTTGGACCACAAAGCAGCTGAAAAATATGTGCAGGAATTCAAGGAGTACATAGACAGTGAAGGACTGAAACCTGAACAAGTGTTTAATTGTGATGAAACAGGCCTATTTTGGAAGAAAATGCCAAGCAGGACCTACATTACTCAGGAGGAAAAGGCACTCCCAGGACATAAGCCTATGAAAGACAGGCTTACTCTTCTCATGTGTACCAATGCTAGTGGTGATTGCAAAGTGAAGCCTTTATTTGTGTATCACTCTGAAATTCCCAGAGCATTCAGGCAAAAGAATATCCTCAAGGCTAATTTGTGTGTGTGCTGTGGAGGGCAAACAGTAAGGCATGGGTCACTAGGAACTTTTTTTATGACTGGTTACACCAAGCATTTGCCCCCAATGTG